TCCAAGTAAGTATGACCTGAATTTTTCAAGTGCGTAGACGACGGCCAACATTTCTTTTTCGGTGGTGGCGTAGTTGCGTTGAGCATCATTGAGAGTGGTGGATGCATAGTAGATCACATGAGATGCCCTTCCCACCTTTTGGCCCAAAACGGCCCCGACCGCATAGTCACTAGCATCACACATGATCTCAAATGGAAGAGACCAATCGGGAGCTTGGATGATAAGTGCGGTTACTAGCTTTTCCTTCAACGTATTGAAGGCCTTCTTGCATTCCTCGGAGAAGATGAATTCCACCTCCTTTTGCAAAAGTGTGCATAAAGGAGATGCAATCTTTGAGAAGTCTTTGATGAATCTCCGATAAAAACCCGCATGTCCAAGGAATGATCGTATCTCCCTAACGGTGGTAGGATAAGGGAGTGATTGGATGACTTCAACTTTGGCCTTGTCAACCTCTATCCCTTTGGATGAGATTACATGGCCTAGAACAATTCCTTCCTCTACCATGAAGTGGCATTTTTCAGAATTCAAAACAAGGTTTGATTCTAAACAACTTTTGAGCACAAGCGATAGATGGTATAAGCAAGAATCAAATGAGTCTCCATGGATTGTGAAATCATCCATGAAAACTTCCATAAATAGCTCAACATACTCGGAGAATATGCTCATCATGCATCTTTGGAAGGTGGCGGGTGCGTTGCAAAGTCCGAATGGCATACGTCGATAGGCAAAAGTGCCAAACGGACAAGTGAATGTTGTCTTCTCTTGATCTTCAGGGGCTATGGGCACTTGAAAGTACCCGGAATAGCCATCAAGGAAGCAATAGAATTTATGCCCCGCAAGTCTCTCAAGCATTTGATCAATGAAGGGTAAAGGAAAGAAATCCTTTCTAGTTACCGCGTTGAGGCGACGGTAATCTATACATACCCTCCATCCATTTTGAATTCGGGTGGGCATAAGTTCTCCATGTTTATTTTCCACCACCGTGACTCCGGTTTTCTTGGGAACAACTTGGGTCGGACTAACCCACTTGCTATCGGATATGGGGAAGATTATCCCCATTTGGAGAAGCTTGATGACCTCCTTTTTTACCACCTCCATCATAGGTGGGTTCAATCTCCGTTGTGGTTGGCGCACCGGCTTGGCTTCATCCTCCATCAATATGCGGTGCATGCAAGTAGATGGGCTAATGCCTTTGATGTCGGCTATAGTCCATCCGATTGCAAGCTTGTGCTCTTTAAGCACCGCAATCAGCTTTTCTTCTTGCTCCCCGGTCAGTTTGTTTGAGATTATGACCGGTAATGTTCCTTTTTCTCCCAAGTACACATATTTCAAATGTGTTGGGAGTGGTTTCATCTCAACTTCGGGGGCCTGCAAAATAGAAGGCAAAGGCTTTTCCTCGGGGATGGTTAGTGGGAATGCTCTTGACCCCGGTGGCATAAGTGGAAGTTGGAAATGGTTATCCAACTCCACCATCATGGCTTGCCTATTGGGGGTCAAAGCAAGTTCTAAAGAATTTTCCCCGAGGTCATTCTCAATTACACTTAGCAGCTCATCCTCCCTATTCGTTTCAAAAGTATTTTGCACAATGGGATCTATAATATCAATGGCAAATAGAGAATGATTTTCATTTGGGTATTTCATGGAGTCGTAAATATTGAATTCAACTTTATCTCCATCAAATTCCAGAGTTAAAGATCCGTTAAAAACATCAATTTTAGCTCTAGCGGTCTTTAAAAATGGCCTTCCTAAAAGGATAGGAACCGCATTCTTGTCATTTTCCATTTCTAAAACATAAAAGTCGGCGGGAAAGATTAAATTGTCTACCATAACTAGTACGTCTTCGACAATACCTTTAGGGTAGGCGTTTGATCTATCCGCAAGTTGGATAACCACTCCGGTTTCGTTTAAAGGACCAAGCTCAAGTGCTTTATACAAAGAATAAGGAATAACATTGATTGATGCTCCTAAGTCTAGCATGGCCTTTGAAAACGTAGTGCCGCCCAACTTACAAGGTATAGTGAACATTCCGGGGTCATTGTATTTCTTTGGGAGTTTCTTTTGAAAGACTGCAGAAACACGTTCACTAACTTGGACTTTTTGTTTTCCATTGAGTCTATGTTTTCTTTTTATTGTACAAAGCTCTTTGAAAAATTTTGCAAATCTGGGAACACCCTTTATTAAATTAAGAAGAGGAATATTTACCTCACACTTGGAGAATGTCTCGTAGATGTCCTTGTCTTTGTCCACCCTCCGTGTTTCCCTCAGAGCTTCGGGAAACGGGGCTTCAACTTCTTGGATGGCCGGTGGTGGAGTCGGCATGTGAACCTCCTCCTCTTCTGATTTAGCTTTGTCCACAATCTCCTCCTCTTCTTCCTCGCCAATGTGGCTTTTGGCTTTCTCCTTGGCAATCACCAACTCTGTGCCACTCCTTAATGTCACCGCATGGGCTTGTTGCCTAGGATTCGGCTCCGTTTGAGATGGAAGCTTTGTTGAATCCTTGGCTTCAAGCCTACTCACCGCACTTGAGATTTGGCTCATTTGATTCTCAAGGTTTTGGATGCTTGATTTTGTCTCATGCTGAAATTGAACCATGTTTTGTTGCATGGTTGAGACATTTGAGGTGAGTGATCGGATCATGTCTTCGGTGGACATAGTTGAGCCTTGGCCTTGGGGTTTAGAATACGGTTGCTTTTGAGGAAATTGGTTTTGTGGAGGGTTATTTTGTGGTGGGTTTCCTTGCGGATTCCCATATCTCAAATTGGGGTGATCTCTAAACCCGGGATGATAAGTATTTCCATAAGAATCGTACCTCTTTTGGTTGGGGAACCCCAAGGCATTGACTTGCTCGGAGTTGTCTTCTTGTAGAGTTGGGCATGAGTCGGTTGGGTGCCCTTGCTGAGTGCAAATGCCGCAGACCTTGACTTCTTGGGTTTTGGAATTTAAAAGGAAATCCTTAACCAAAGAAGTCAAGCCGGCAACTTGACTTTCCAACGAGGTGTTGGACTCTGCCGCCATCACTCGTTTTTTTGATGACCTCCCGCTATAGTGTCTCGAGTTTTCGGCAAACTCCGAGATGAGGTCTCTTGCTTGGGAAGGTGTTTTGTTGACGATTCCTCCCCCACATGCGGCGTTGATCATTCGTCTATCATCATTGCAAAGACCATCATAAAAGTATAGGATGAGGTCTTGCTCCGAATAGCCGTGGTATGGACAGCTTGCACAAAGCTTTTTGAACCGTTCCCAATATTCATAGAATGATTCATCATCATTTTGCTCCACATTGCTAATTTGTTTCTTTAGAGATGAGGAGACGGAGGCGGGGTAATACCTCTCGAGAAAAGCTTTCTTCATGGCCGCCCATGTTCCTATACTTCCCGAGGGAAGATAGAATAACCAATCCTTTGCGGTGTCTTTGAGGGAGAATGGAAAAGCCCTCAACTTGATTTGCTCCTCGGTAACTCCGTTGGGGCACATGCTTGTGCAAACAACATAGAATTCTGAGAGATGCTTATTTGGATCCTCCCCTCTTAAGCCATGGAAGGAAGGAAGAAGATGAATAAGCCCCGATTTGAGCTCAAATGTATTACCCTCATCAAGAGTGGGGAAGGTAATACACAATGGTTGTTGATTCAGGTTTGGAGCCGTGAGCTCCCTCAGTGTTCTTGTTTCTTGAGCCATAGTGATTGGCTCTTCAGATTCGCTAGAACTAGAGCTAGCGTTTGAGGATTCCTCCGAGGGTGTGTGCGGAAATAAATTTCTCAACCTCTCGAAGGCTTGTTCTATTTCGGGGTTTGTTTGATAAGTGATTTCGTTTATGGAACGATATCGGACCATATACTTCACAAAGCTCAGAAATAGAAAAATAAGAACTCTTTATATTTTTGATTAATTATATTTTTTTTGATTTTTCTTGAAATAAAATAAAAAGAAAAATAATTGCCTTTTCCCGGCAACGGCGCCAAATTTGACGTGCACTTGTCGTGAGGTGCACTCAAAATAAATATCAATACGACACTAATACGTAGTATAGTGTAGTAAGGTTCGTATCCACAGGGAAAAGAATACTTTTCTTCTTATAGAAACAATTAAGTAATAATAAAAGGGGGGGGGGGGGGGGTTATATTGGGTTGATGAACGTTCAATTATATTTAAACACGAAGATGAACGAGTTATGTAGTTTAATTAATGAGAAGAAGGTTTGGCTTTGCTTTTATCCACTTAATGAAATGTTCGTCGATCCCAGTTATATCTTTAACTATCTTCCTCTCGAATACTCAATCGAGGAGTATATCCAATTCATCGAGGGTAGTTATTAATAACGAGACGCGTTCATTAATAAAACTTACTACCGAGTTAATATAGAACACGCGCCGTATATTTACTCGATAGTAGCAATAAAATCAAGATGAAAACGATTGAGATTGATAACCTCAACACAAGCGGTTTATCGGTTTAATCAATATAATTAATTCCTCTTGGCTTATTAACCATGACACGCATGCATTAACAACCCAAGTTTACTACCGTGAAAGGATGATAAGTCCATTTTCGTACTTATTTTTTCTTATCAAATTTAAGCGATTTTTGAATGAAAATAGAAAGAAAAGACACATTTTATATATTTCGGTTCAAGTTTCATGAAATCAGGTAAAAATCACATCCATAATATGTTTAGCGGGATTTCGGGTCAATTGAGCACAAAATGAGTCAATTTGAGTGACAAATGCATTTATACCGGAAGAAGCAAGCATTTTATCAAGGTGATTCAGAAGACAAAGTTGAAGAGCAAGAAAAGCCGCATCTGCCAGACAAAAGTAGCCGAAGGCGCCCAAATAGGCGCCCAAAATGAAGGCCTTCGCGGCCGCCTACGGTATTTTTGGAAAGTCAAACTTTGACTTTGACCGGATTCGGAAAAGACCGTAGGCGGCCGACACTGGACGGAAGGCGGCCGCCTACGGTGACCGCCTGCGGCAGAAGACGACGAAGCAACCGCCGGCCGGTGGGATTTGACGGCAGGCGGCCAGACAGGAACGGCAGGCGGCCGCCTGCTGGACCGCCTGCGGCGGCCGGGATCCGCCGGGATCCGCCGCGATCCGATTTGACAATGAAAAGACGGCAGGCGGCCGATGTGTGACGGAAGGCGGCCGCCCTCTGTGGCCGCCTACGGCTGACGGGGACCGGCCACCGACCGCTGTCGGCGACGAAGACGGCAGGCGGCCGGAGAGAGGCGGAAGGCGGCCGCCTGGTTGGCCGCCTTCGGGAAAATTTCTCCTATAAATAGCCCGATTTTTCCTCAACTCAAACACACCTCTTCCAACCCTAAATCAGTTCAAAACACCTTCTTTCTTCCTCCATTTTCGAGCTCCAAAGGTCTTAGAGAGAGAGAAACTTCAAATCTTCATATCTTCTTCATTTTAGCTCCAAATTGTAAGTTCTTTATATGTATTTTCATCTTCTCAATGTGTAGAATCTGAATCTGTGCTTTGTTTCTTCGATCTGTTCTTCGAAAATTTCCAGATTATTTTTCAAGTATTTCGCATTTCCTTCCAAAAATTAAATAAAATAGTTATTGTTGTTGAAATCATTCCAATTAATTATATAGTTGTTCACTAGCCTCAAGGTAGTTATTTATCTGAAGAAATTAATTTTTCACGAACCAGAAGTAATTTTTAATTAATTTTGGTAACTATTTGATATTAGTTCACAATTTAGAATAAATACTAGAAAAAAAAAGAAAAAAATGAGTTCGGCCCTATTTACAGTTTAGTTAACTTAAATATCATTACTAGTAGTTAATATAAAATTTGGTACGAATTTAGAGTATTTTTTTTATTAATTTCGGTAATTACCTTATATTATTGCTTAAATCAAAATAAATACTAAAAAAGGAAAAAAATTAGTTCGGACCTGATTACAGTTTATTCACAGTTATATACCTCCCAGTAGCTAAAAATAAAATTTAGAACGAATTTAAAATCATTTTAGTTGCTTTTTGCATTTTCTAGTTAAATTTGGGAAAATTATCAATTAGTTGTTAAAATTGGATTTTAGGCTCAAAAATTCGTGAAAAAATTCCAGAAAGTTGTATTTTAGTTCCTACAAGTTTATTGTTCCAGAATATAATTTTTGTTTAATTTTTGCTATCATACATGTTTAATTCCTTGTTGATGTTGAATTTAATCATTATATCGTTAATTGTAAAAATGATAATGAGTAGCTAAATTTGTTAGGGCATGAATTGAGTAAAGGAATATGGATTGACTTGTTGACCTAAAATTAGGGGTTAAAATTAATAAATTGGACTAGTTGTTTAAAATGATGAAATAGTAATTAATAATAGTTAGCCATTTTCTTTAATTAAATTCTTGGAAAATTAATTCTAACTTGTCTATGAGATTAGAAATTAATTTAAGCCAACCATATTTGAGCACATTAATAAGGCCTAGAAATAGGATAATTTAATGAAAGGGATTTACATCTTGTCTATGAGAGATAAATTCAATTGCTAAAATAAAGAGTTTAACTAGTTAATGAATTTGGCTATTTTTATTAATTAAAATATTGGAAAATTATTTCTGCCTTGTCTATGGGTTTAGAATATAATTTAAGCCAACCATTTTAAACACATTAATGATACCTAGAAATAGGATAAATTAATGAAGATAGTTTCTATTCTTGTCTATGAGGAAAGAAATTATTAGTCCAACTTTAGTCTCAATTTCCCTAATTAAGAGGTCCAAGAACATATCCATTTCTAATTACTCAATTCATTGCCCTTATTTGCATCCTTGAATAATCAGTCTTTATACATTAATCTTTAAATTGCACCTTGCTCCTAGTTATAATTTAGCATAATAAAGAACAAAAACACTTTCCTATATTGAAAAGGCTTCCAACGATTAGCGATAGCCCGTGACTAAAATTAAATTAAGAAACTTCTCCGCCATTCCTCAAGAGACACGACACTCGGGGAAAAACCGAAAGGTTAGACTCCGTTTTACTACAACGCCGCGAAAGCGGTTATCAAATGGCGCCGTTGCCGGGGAATGGCACGATTATTTCTTGATTTAGTTCTAGCATAGGTGAATTCTAGTTAGGGAGACTTTTTCGCCCTTGCGACAATTTGTATAAAGATTTCAGGATAAATGAATGCACACCCGCTCTAAAGGAGTGGAAGGTCTAATTGAACTTGATCCTGAACCTGAACGAACTTTGTGGAAAAACCTTTCAATCCACAAGAAACCAAGCATGGCGGGAGAAAGGACGGTGTTGCAAAATCTTACGCCAAACTTCATCGAGGATGATAGTATCAGCGCACCGGCAATCGAGGCAGCCAATTTCGAGATCAAACCCGCCATTGTCAACATGATGTCCAACCATCAATTTGGCGGGTCCAAGCAAGATGACCCTAGGGCCCACATGTTGTGGTTCACCCGAGCATGCCAAACGTTCCGCTTTAACGGAGTGACCTCCGACGCCGCAAAGTTGACCCTATTTCCCTTCTCATTACGGGATAGGGCATCTTTGTGGCTGAATAGCTTTCCAACGGGTCACTTCACAACATGGGCGGCACTGCACCAAGCATTCATGCAAGAATACTTTCCTCCATCGGCAGTTGCTAAAATTAAAACAGCAATCCAAAACTTTAGGCAATTCCCGATGGAGTCCTTAAGTGAAGCATGGGATCGTTTCAAGGATATGAGAAACAAATGTCCACTCACACTGATGGATTCTAGTAGCTTGATGTTCCATTTTTACAATGGACTTCAAGTTAGTAGCAAAAAAGAACTTGATTTCTCTTCTCAGGTGGGATCATTCCTTGACATGGCACCCAACACCAACGAAGCTCTGGTGGAGAAGGTCACTTCAAATGCAAGATACTGGTATGACGAAAGAACTCCAGCAGCAACAAAACCAGGCTATCTTGAAGTTGACCAACTCACGGCCTTAACAGCAAAGATTGAAGGGTTGGTCGTGGAAGTAAAGAATCTGAAGAATGAAAACAATCACACCAACCAAGTCAACAACATCGGTGCTGTCCCGAATCAACAATCATCCCGATACTTCGGGAACTCAAGCTCTGCTCCACAGTCATCTCAATTTAATACTTTTTCACCTGTTTCTCATTCAACTGAACTTGTACTCTCATGTGAGATATGTTTTGGTCCACATTTGACCAACTCATGTCAATTAGTCGATGAATGTAATGTAAACAACAACAGGGAAGTGAACATGCTGGAGTATGGCCGAACAAAACAAGAAGGGCCATGGGCGAATCAGGGCAACAGAGGGGGTAACTCCAACTACCCTCCTCAGAATTTCCAAGGAAGGAATTACCAAGGTAACCAATGGCGGGGGGATTACAACAATGGTCCTCCTCGCGGCGGTTATCAAGGTAATCAAAACTACCCCAACAATAATCAAGGGAACAACTTCCAGAGTCGGAACCAGGGAGGTGCACCAGCCCAACAGAACAACCAAGCTTATGTGCCTCCACACCAACGACAAACGGAGGCTGCCCAGCCATCAGAGATAGGCTTGCTGGTAGCAGAACTGGCAAGGACACGGGAGGAAATAACAAGATACAAGGCCAGCACTGACAATCAGATTAAAAATCTGATGATGCAAATTAATCAGAACAATGTTCCCGGTCGTCAGCCAGGCAACTTGCCTAGCACCACGGAACCAAACCCCCGTGAACATGTGCAAGCCATCACTCTCCGAAGCGGGAGACAAACAACCGTGGCTGAGCAGAAAGACGAGGAAGAGGAAGGTACCCCAACCATGGAACCTGAGAAACAAACTGATGCTCCAACTGAGAAGAGCATGGAACCAACACGCCCTAACACAAGGGTCACTATCGTCAAACCTTCTCTCCCGTTTCCTTCACGGGTTAGAAATGATGACGATAGCAGGAAGTACAACAAATTCCTGGACCTACTCAAACAACTCCACGTCAACCTGCCGCTGATGGATGCCCTAGCGGAGATGCCCAAATATGCCAAGTTCTTCAAGGACTTGCTGACGAACAAGAGGCAGCTGCAGGAACTCTCAGTCGTGGACTTGAACGCGGAATGCTCGGCCGTGGTTCTAAGGTCAATACCCGAAAAGCTAAAGGATCCAGGTAGTTTCACTATCCCTTGCTCTATAGACAATTTCAATTTCAATAATGCTCTAGCTGACTTAGGGGCAAGTATCAATCTGATGCCTTCCTCTATAGTCGAGAAGCTAGGACTTGGGGAAATGAAACCCACCAGGATGTGTCTTCAACTGGCTGATCGCTCAGTCAAATATCCGAAAGGAATTGTTGAAGACGTCCTGGTCAAGGTTGACAAATTCATTTTCCCAGTCGACTTTGTAGTAATGGACATGGAAGAGGATAGGGAAACACCTCTTATTCTGGGAAGGCCCTTTCTGGCTACCGCCAGGGCCTTGATTGATGTCACTGATGGCTCATTAACTCTAAGAGTCGGAGATGATCTATGCACCTTCCGACTCTCAGATGTTATGAAACACCCCACAGATTCCTTTCAAGGATGTCATTTTCTTGATACCTTTGAGTCTATTGAAGGGTATCTGTTTGGGGAAGAAAATGGACATGTAACTGATGAAGCATGTCTGTTAAAAAAGGCCAACAGTGATGTGAGTGATGCATGTGAGAGTTGTGAGGATGCGCTGATTGATCAAGCTTCTAACGAAGTATTGACTGAGTTTGAGGGGGAGAAAAATGAACAAAACTTGAAAAACGACCACCCCCTCGAACTAAAGAAACTGCCCGACCATTTAGAATATGCATTCTTGGATGACGAAGGCAAATGCCCTGTCGTCATCGCCGCACACTTAAGTGAAGAACAAAGGGAGAAATTACTTGGAGTCCTTAAGACACACAAGCAAGCAATTGCTTGGAAACTTGAGGACATCAATGGAATAAGCCCCGCCTTTTGTACCCACACCATCAAGATTGAGGAAGGGTTTAAACCAGTTGTCCAACCACAACGACGTTTAAACCCAAACATGATGGAAGTAGTGCGTGCCGAGATTGTCAAACTGCTGGATGCGAGTATCATTTACCCCATCTCTGATAGCCAGTGGGTAAGCCCTATTCATGTTGTCCCCAAAAAGGGGGGAATGACCGTCATGAAAAATGAAAAGGGCGAACTTCTACCCAGTCGAACTGTTACCGGGTGGCGAATGGTAATCGATTACCGCAAACTGAACGAAGCCACCCGGAAAGACCATTTTCCCCTTCCCTTCATCGATCAATTAATAGAGAGGTTGGCAGGCCATAGTCACTACTGTTTCCTGGATGGCATGAGTGGATACTTCCAAATCCATGTCAACCCGGAAGACCAAGACAAAACTACGTTTACATGCCCTTTTGGGACCTTTGCTTTTCGTAGGATGTCTTTTGGTCTCTGTAATGCCCCTGCCACCTTCATGAGGTGCATGATTGCCATTTTTGAAAAATACATTGGCCACTTCATGGAGGTATTCATGGATGACTTCTCTATTTTTGGGGAAACATTTGAAAAATGCCTTGAAAACCTGGAAAAAGTACTTATCCGCTGCAAGGAAACCCATTTAGCCCTAAGTTGGGAGAAATGTCACTTCCTTGTGAAAGAGGGTATAGTAATTGGACACAAGGTGTCAAGTAACGGGGTAGAGGTGGACCGTGCAAAAATTGAGACGATAGAGAAACTTCCTCCACCAACCACGGTAAAAGCCATCCGCAGCTTCTTAGGACACGCGGGCTTTTATCGTCGTTTTATAAAGGATTTCTCTAAAATCGCAAAACCTCTCACCCGGTTACTTGAAAAAGATGCGGTTTTTATATTCTCTGATGAATGTCACCATGCTTTCCAAGCACTTAAAACACAACTGATCAATGCTCCTGTGCTTGTGGCCCCGGATTGGAGTTTACCCTTTGAACTCATGTGTGACGCTAGTGACTTAGTAGTAGGGGCCATCCTTGGTCAAAGGAAGGACAAGAACTTCCACCCAATCTACTACGCTAGCAAAACTCTGTCAGGGCCACAACTCAACTACACTACCACTAAAAAAGAATTCCTTGCTATTGTTTGTGCTTTAGAGAAGTTTAGGACTTACATCATTCTTTCGAAGGTTATTATCTATACCGACCATTCGGCCATTAGATATCTCCTCCAAAAGCATGATGCTAAGCCTAGACTGTTACGCTGGGTTCTTTTGTTGCAGGAATTTGATATTGAAATCAGGGACCGAAAAGGGTCTGCTAATCAGGCAGCTGATCACCTCTCGAGGTTAGATGCCGAGTTAGCAGAAACTTTCGGAAAATGCGAAATTGAGGAGCTTTTTCCTGCTGAGAGATTGATGGCGATTTCCGCCAAGGAGCAAACACCGTGGTATGCCGACATTGCCAACTACCTTGTTGGTAAAGTCGAGCCTACCGAACTGACAAGGCACATGAAAAGGCGGTTCCTATCAGAAGCAAAGCACTATTTTTGGGATGATCCATATCTATTCCGAATTTGTGCTGACCAGGTGGTGAGAAGATGTGTTACTGAAGCTGAGGCAAGGGACATTCTGGAGCATTGTCACAGCGGTCCTACTGGGGGCCACTTTTCAGGGAATAGAACCGCAAGACGGGTTTTGGACTGTGGGTACTTCTGGCCCACGATTTTTAAAGATGCTAATGTATTTGTTTCCTCTTGTGATAACTGTCAACGAATCAGGAACATTTCTGGGCGCAATGAGATGCCCCAACACTTTATCTTACCTTGTGAGGTATTTGATGTTTGGGGCATCGACTTTGTTGGACCTTTCCCAAGCTCAAGAGGAAACAAATACATTCTTGTGGCCATTGATTATGTTTCTAAATGGGTCGAAGCCCAGGCCTGTGTCACCAACGACTCTCGAGTAGTCGTGAATTTTCTGAAAAAGCTCTTTACCAGATTTGGTGTGCCCAGGGTTTTGATCAGCGATAGAGGGACTCATTTCCACAATGACCCAATGGCTAGGATTTTGGCCAAATATGGAGTCCAACATCGAAGCGGAGTAGCGTACCACCCCCAGACTCAGGGACAAGTGGAGAACGCTAACAGGGATTTGAAGTCCATTCTGGAGAAAACTGTTGCCCAGACCAGGAAAGACTGGTCAACTAAACTTGACGACGCTCTTTGGGCATTTCGGACTGCTTACAAAACCCCGATCGGAACCACACCTTTTCGCCTTGTATACGGGAAGTCTTGCCACTTACCCGTCGAACTCGAGCATAAAGCACTTTGGGCGATGAAAAATGTCTGTTTTAAACTGGATGCTGCAGGGAAGGAACGATTTTACCAGCTGAATGAACTGGAAGAGTGGAGAGCGCAAGCTTTTCATAATTCTAAACTTTACAAAGAACGGGCCAAACTCTACCATGATCAACACATCAAGGCTCGTGATTTCAATGCTGGAGATAAAGTGCTGTTATTCAACTCCCGGTTGAAGCTCTTTCCAGGAAAGCTTAAGTCAAGATGGTCCGGACCGTTCAAGGTCATAAAAGCTTACCCCTACGGAACCGTTGAGATTGAAGATGCTAATGGGGGTCCCTTTAAGGTCAACGGCCACCAACTTAAACTCTACCATGGCGGCCCGATTGAAAAAAGCAAGGAGATTCTCTATCTCCAAAAATTTTGAACCAAAGGAGGACATTCGTCAAGCTAGTGACGTTAAAGAAGCGCTCATTGGGAGGCAACCCAACAACCAAAAAAAAAAAAAAAAAAAAAAAAAAAAAAAAACTAACCCAAAAATATTTACTTTGTTTATTTCTTGCAGATGTCTGGAGGAAGACGTGACGATCCCATTTTCGAGGAGCCACCACTATGACGGGAAGACCCGCCACCTCAGCCTGATATCCCATTTGCTACTATTGCTGATCGCAGACGCTTCCAGGCATGGGGGCAATACCGCACACTCCTTCCTCCCATGATCCTGGACCCGACGATGCTAGAGGAATGGGGGTACTGGGATGAGATTGATTCCCTGCTAGGAGACTCTTTATGGCGGAGGATTCTATTCGTTCAGGAGAGGGCCAGCCTTCCATTGACGATGGAGTTTCTGTGCTCCGTTCAGTTCACTCATTACGGACAGGCTGTGCAGGAGGGTGCTGTTATTGGGTCAGAGTCTCGGATGAGGTTTACTATTCTAGGCATGGAGCACTCCATCACTGTGGCTGAGCTCGGATGGAGGATGGGGCTCTATACCCCAGCATACACACAGACTGAGGAGTTCCGTGCTCTTCCGACCCGCTTACCCGAGGCATTTGACATTGATGAGTTCTGGCACAGACACTCCACAGACACCAGATCATTTCTCCGGATGCACCCCCATTCGAACAAATGGAGGGAGACTCACTGGTACATACTCTCATTCGTACTTTCTTGTGGTTTTTTTGGACGACCTAACAACACAAACAGGTTGTCCAAAAAGGACATACTATTCTTTTGGAGTTTGATTCACCGCATCCCGGTGAATATGGCTGTCCTTATGGCTCGTTTCTTCCGGAGCCAGGGGAAGACTGTGCGGCGCACTATCCAGGCAGGGCCTTTCATCACTACTCTCGTTAGATCATTCTACCCAGATCTAGACATTCCGGGGCTACTGCACTTACAGGATAGCATCCGCGTTCTTCGATCCTCATCCTTTACCAACATGAGGATCAAGAAGAAGCGGAATACTCAAGAGCTCCCAGGTATTGAGCAGCCGACCCAGCAGGGTAGTTCTTCTCGACCCTCAGGACATGAGGGATCTAGCGAGCCCTTTTCAGACATGCCTAGCGCCGCAGATTGGAGAGCGATGATGGAGGGGATGCGGAGTCTCCAGACTTCAGTTGTTGAGATACGAGATGCACAGGAGAGAGGATTCCAGGAGATGCGAGATGCGCATGCGACGGCCCTAGGAGAGTTCTGAGACTTTCGATTAGCTCAGGAGAGAGCCACCCGGGATATGCAGGAGGAGTTAGAGACCCAGAGGCTAGATATTGATGAGATGAGAGACTGGCTTAGGCCACACTATGGCCCTCGGGATTACGCAGGCGATGCTTAGTTTTGCTTCTTCCTTGACATTTTTTTTTTTGTGTTTGTTTGTTTCTTCAGGTTGGACATTGCGCTGCTCTTTTGACTTGAATGCTCTTACAAACTGACTATGGATGATGTAAGGATTTAAAAAAAACCATTTTACTCCTGTTTCATTATTCCTCTTCACAAAATCTTTTCAAAACTCAAGTGTGAGGAAAGAACCAAAAAAAAAAATGTGCCTTTATTTCCCAATTTTGTGCCTCAAAAGAAGACCTCGAGGGCGAGGTCCAGCTCAAGTGTGAGGAGGTTGCGTTTTACACTCAAAAGTCAAAACCTTGTTTTAGAACAATCTTTTTACTATTTTTGATATGAAACATTAATTTCTCAATTTGTTATCAAATCATAAAATACTTTAGATAATCACCCTTATTATAAGAATTTACTTTTATTATTATTTTTGAAAACTTAAAATTGTTATGGGTTTTTGGTTGCGAATGTAAAGGTCCGAATTTGTTTTAATTGGACATTCATTTTATTCATTAAAAAAAAACATGTTACTACTAATAAACCTCTTCAAAACTCATTGTTATAGGACAATTCCATCTCCGAAAAGGGGCTCTGTTTCATTCGTTAATCACAGTCTGTGAGAATGAAATATGCATTTACAATGGGATAACACCGCCAACAAGAGTGAAAAAGAGCAAAAAAAAAAATGGTGAACAAGATGAATGTCCAAATTAAAATAATGAAAACCTTGGGATAAGGAATTGATTGGTGGTTTAACATAATAAATAGTTTTTCTTAAGTAATACTAATTTTAAACTCTTGTATTTTGGGTGATTTTTCTAAAATGTTTAAAAATTGAGAATAAAAGATGAGGTTTTTGTTTCTACTTCTTTAAAATAGCAATTAGATTGTAATACAGTTAGGCTTACCTTTTGAGTGTGTTTACAACTAATTCGTCGCTTGAGGACAAGCAACGCTTAAGTGTGAGGAGATTGATAAGTCCATTTTCGTACTTATTTTTTCTTATCAAATTTAAGCGATTTTTGAATGAAAATAGAAAGAAAAGACACATTTTATATATTTCGGTTCAAGTTTCATGAAATCAGGTAAAAATCACATCCATAATATGTTTAGCGGGATTTCGGGTCAATTGAGCACAAAATGAGTCAATTTGAGTGACAAATGCATTTATACCGGAAGAAGCAAGCATTTTATCAAGGTGATTCAGAAGACAAAGTTGAAGAGCAAGAAAAGCCGCATCTGCCAGACAAAAGTAGCCGAAGGCGCCCAAATAGGCGCCCAAAATGAAGGCCTTCGCGGCCGCCTACGGTATTTTTGGAAAGTCAAACTTTGACTTTGACCGGATTCGGAAAAGACCGTAGGCGGCCGACACTGGACGGAAGGCGGCCGCCTACGGTGACCGCCTGCGGCAGAAGACGACGAAGCAACCGCCGGCCGGTGGGATTTGACGGCAGGCGGCCAGACAGGAACGGCAGGCGGCCGCCTGCTGGACCGCCTGCGGCGGCCGGGATCCGCCGGGATCCGCCGCGATCCGATTTGACAATGAAAAGACGGCAGGCGGCCGATGTGTGACGGAAGGCGGCCGCCCTCTGTGGCCGCCTACGGCTGACGGGGACCGGCCACCGACCGCTGTCGGCGACGAAGACGGCAGGCGGCCGGAGAGAGGCGGAAGGCGGCCGCCTGGTTGGCCGCCTTCGGGAAAATTTCTCCTATAAATAGCCCGATTTTTCCTCAACTCAAACACACCTCTTCCAACCCTAAATCAGTTCAAAACACCTTCTTTCTTCCTCCATTTTCGAGCTCCAAAGGTCTTAGAGAGAGAGAAACTTCAAATCTTCATATCTTCTTCATTTTAGCTCCAAATTGTAAGTTCTTTATATGTATTTTCATCTTCTCAATGTGTAGAATCTGAATCTGTGCTTTGTTTCTTCGATCTGTTCTTCGAAAATTTCCAGATTATTTTTCAAGTATTTCGCATTTCCTTCCAAAAATTAAATAAAATAGTTATTGTTGTTGAAATCATTCCAATTAATTATATAGTTGTTCACTAGCCTCAAGGTAGTTATTTATCTGAAGAATTTAATTTTTCACGAACCAGAAGTAATTTTTAATTAATTTTGGTAACTATTTGATATTAGTTCACAATTTAGAATAAATACTAGAAAAAAAAAGAAAAAAATGAGTTCGGCCCTATTTACAGTTTAGTTAACTTAAATATCATTACTAGTAGTTAATATAAAATTTGGTACGAATTTAGAGTATTTTTTTTATTAATTTCGGTAATTACCTTATATTATTGCTTAAATCAAAATAAATACTAAAAAAGGAAAAAAATTAGTTCGGACCTGATTACAGTTTATTCACAGTTATATACCTCCCAGTAGCTAAAAATAAAATTTAGAACGAATTTAAAATCATTTTAGTTGCTTTTTGCATTTTCTAGTTAAATTTGGGAAAATTATCAATTAGTTGTTAAAATTGAATTTTAGGCTCAAAAATTCGTGAAAAAATTCCAGAAAGTTGTATTTTAGTTCCTACAAGTTTATTGTTCCAGAATATAATTTTTGTTTAATTTTTGCTATCATACATGTTTAATTCCTTGTTGATGTTGAATTTAATCATTATATCGTTAATTGTAAAAATGATAATGAGTAGCTAAATTTGTTAGGGCATGAATTGAGTAAAGGAATATGGATTGACTTGTTGACCTAAAATTAGGGGTTAAAATTAATAAATTGGACTAGTTGTTTAAAATGATGAAATAGTAATTAATAATAGTTAGCCATTTTCTTTAATTAAATTCTTGGAAAATTAATTCTAACTTGTCTATGAGATTAGAAATTAATTTAAGCCAACCATATTTGAGCACATTAATAAGGCCTAGAAATAGGATAATTTAATGAAAGGGATTTACATCTTGTCTATGAGAGATAAATTCAATTGCTAAAATAAAGAGTTTAACTAGTTAATGAATTTGGCTATTTTTATTAATTAAAATATTGGAAAATTATTTCTACCTTGTCTATGGGTTTAGAATATAATTTAAGCCAACCATTTTAAACACATTAATGATACCTAGAAATAGGATAAATTAATGAAGATAGTTTCTATTCTTGTCTATGAGGAAAGAAATTATTAGTCCAACTTTAGTCTCAATTTCCCTAATTAAGAGGTCCAAGAACATATCCATTTCTAATTACTCAATTCATTGCCCTTATTTGCATCCTTGAATAATCAGTCTTTATACATTAATCTTTAAATTGCACCTTGCTCCTAGTTATAATTTAGCATAATAAAGAACAAAAACACTTTCCTATATTGAAAAGGCTTCCAACGATTAGCGATAGCCCGTGACTAAAATTAAATTAAGAAACTTCTCTGCCATTCCTCAAGAGACACGACACTCGGGGAAAAACCGAAAGGTTAGACTCCGTTTTACTACAACGCCGCGAAAGCGGTTATCAAAGGACCGAGTTAATAACAAGCGTATTAATCGACCGATTCTAGTATTAATTAATATATGAAACAAAACTAGTTGATCCTTTAAGTATTGCTCAAAATATTAATATGTAATAGGAATAGGAGTTAATTAATATTCAAGGAAGAAGATTAAAGAAAATAACTCACAACTTACAATTCATTAAGCTTCAAAGTAGCAAAACCAAGATGGAAGAGTTTAGCTCCTCATTTGGAGACTAAACATGATGAAAAAATATAAAGAAAGAACTTGTCTAAACTGAGCTAAGAAGTATATGTGAATTGGTGGTCTTCTTGTGGAGGAAATGGGGTGTATTTATAGGCTTTTTAGGCCTGCAGGGTCGTGTACCCGATCGGGTTTTCAGCCCACTCGACCGGGTAACAGATGTGGCTTCGACGAAGCTGGAAAATGGGGTCATACCCGATCGGGTCTGTCGGTCACCCGATCGGGTATGGACACCCGAACGTGTTAAAAATCTTCCCGCATGATGCCTTGTTCCCGGATTTGATTTGATTCGAAATTTCAGAAGGGTACCCGACCGGGTATAGGTCATACCCGATCGGGTACAGACCAAAAACGAGATCTTCAATCTTTTTCTTGCATTCTTGCACCTTCCTTGCACTGGTGATGTTCACCAATGGTCTCCAAAGTGTATTTGGACCTGTTTGAGCTCAGAATAAACTTAATCTAAACATATTACAAATATTTTACAAACTAAACTATTTACACCAAAAGTGTGTAATTTCCAAAGTAACAATCACTCGAAGCTAATTAAAAGCACAAATTTAAATATGGAAATTACATGAATGTCAAGAAGCAACATGATCAAGCTTCTGCCGACGCTTGTTCTCCCCCTCATGAGAATTTGAATCATCGGGATCCTCATGTGAACGTTTGCTGCCGTGAAGTGTCACGCCCCGGACCTAAGCGGACACGTCAACAACCCGCCGCACAATACGAATAGTCAACCGCAGTTCAACACATCCATACTATACAAGGTGTCTCGAATATCATTCACACGTAGCACATCCATAAACAAACATAATGTAAAAACATTCATTTACGCAGCGGAAACATTAATACAAGAGTTAAGCCACAATTGGCAAACTTAGGCATACAAGCCCCCAAATAATTATCCAAAACAATATCCATGAGCATTCTTTAAATTGTTTTCAAAACAGAAACGGAAGAAGCACAAACCAAGTCTTCTTCCTTCGATCTCCCAAAGCAACGACGGTGGTAGCAACCTTCAAGTTCTACCTGAAACTGTGAGGTGGCCTCTCCCGTGAAGGGGAGGTCAGTACTTTGAAGCATTTGAAAAGTACAATGACAACTACACTGTATATAATCAATGTTTTAATTTCTAAGACCCTCAATCTAGGGATGATAGTATATTATAGGCCGTAACCCTCTGTTACCCTATTTAAAACCTACTTACCTCATATAAAAGGTCAAGTAGTCGGTCCGTGGGCCCACACTTACCTTATCACGTCGTGCTAGAGGCTGACTCTAATCACCCCATTTCGTGCTAGAGGCTCCCTCTAGTCACTCTGCATTATGCTAGAGGCTTCCTCTAGTCATTTCCCGTCGTGCTAGAGGCTCCCTCCAG